ATGGAGGAAACATATAATATATGTGTTCTAGGCCTATAATTCAGGCTCATCATGAAAAGTTATGCTTATATGAACAATATGAATTTTATTTTATGTTTTATGCAATTAACATCACCATCATCACTTCTCATTAGATTCTGGCTCATTAATTAGAGTAAGAACTTTTTAATTGTTTTTCGAATTTGAATCTATAATTTTTCAATTTCAAAGAATAACTTCATCACTATTCGAGATTCGTCCTTTTTTATTTTAATTTTATGCTTGGTGTGTTTTAAAAATAAAACAGAATTAGATATTTTTTAAAAAATAATAAAATAAAAAACAAACAGAATAAAATAATTCTATCCTATTTTGTCTGCATGTTCTACCCGAAATTAGGCCACCGATTCTAGTTTTACAGAGATGAAACCAAATAGAAAAAAAAAATTAAATTTTAATACAAAATGGATTTTGGTCAGCTGAACAGAAAGGATACCAAATTTTAGAGCCCCTATAACTATTGGCCATTGACATTATGTAATTAAAGGTGGTTACTGCATTATATATTATCCTTTCATATGTTTAATCAAAAATATCAAGGGGCTGACCAACAAAGTTTACTCGTTTTATATAAGGTTACTCGTTTTATACAGAATCAAAAATATATTATCCGTTTAATTTTTTTGTCAATTTATTTATCAATTTAATACAAGTGAAACACACATGGAGAGTGCACGTTTAAGTTGTGCATCATTCCATACGTGATTTATGCAAAAGTCAAAATAAATCTGCAACATGTTACGTACTGCAAAATGCACTTGGAGGCAAAATTTAATATTTGTGCAAAACGCCAATGCATCTCTTCTATTTTACTAACTTTTGCACAAACCACGCACACACGACTTAAATGTGCACATTTCCTATGCACGTTTTAGTCACATAAAATTGATAATAGTTTGCCAAAAAATTTAAATTGATAAAATATTTGTATTTTGCATTATATTGGTCAAAACTCCTTCAAAAAAAATAAAAAAAAATATACTATATTGTGGTGTAAACCCGTTTGGCCTTACCTGCAACACTTCTGAGCAGTCATCGACTAATTACAATTATCATGGTAATCATCACGACCTTCCCCAATTTTATTATATATGCTTACATTACAATGACAAGTGATGTACTTTAATTTAAAGAAAAAAATTGACAATAAAGAATCTAAAGTGTTGTTGTGGGAATTGAGAAATACGAACGAATCAACAAAAGCTAAGGAAGAGTTTGAGCCGTAGAGTATGCAGTTACATAATATTCTTTGCTTTGTCCTAAGTTTTATTCACTTAATAGTTAATATATCTACTAATGCATTCCTTATTAGTTAAATACTTAGTAGGAGCAACGTCAACATAGCTAGTTGGTAGGGCACAACAGTCCAACACAAGGAACAAGCCAGAAGCAATAAATGCCCTTCTGATTGACCCGTTTAATTTTTAGGTGAAAGAATTTTATCTAGCTTTGTGTTCATACAAATATTTCTATCTTTTTTAGTGTCCATGAGGGAATGAACAAGTTTTGACTCACATTACAATGACATTGCCTAGTGTTAGCATGTCCCACTAATAAACTTGTAATAATTTAATTTGAAAAACTTTAATAAGTTGAATATGTGGATATAATAATATTATATTTCTCTTAATTAATTATAATAATGAGGTAATTAAGTCTAAATAACATATGATGAGTATTTGAATTATCATGATTGATTTAAATGGAATAACTTTGATATTTTAAATATTTGTTTATATTATTTAGACTCATATTTTTTTCTTGGTAATAATTTAGACTCATATTTAAATTTGTATCCAAGTATCAAAGCTAATCAATTTAAATTAAATATGAAAATTGAAATACCAATCACATGTTAATTAGAATTAATTACTTTGTTATCGTAATCAATTAAGATAAATAAAATATCAGGAATATCAATTGGAATAGCAGAAATAGCTTGAGACTTTAAATAGATAAATTGAAATTCAAATATATTCCTATAAATACCAAGGGTTTAATTAATCAAAATAATTACTATAAATATTAAAGTTAATCAATTTAAATTAATCACGATATTTCAACTATCCATTACATATTAATTAGACTTAATTTTCTTGTTATTATAATGAATTAAAATAAATAAAACATCCTATATAATTAATTATTTTTCAAATTAAATAATTATATGAATTTGTTAGTGGGACATTCAACTCCCAATTATTACCGTGTATTTCATGTATTCCAAAGACAATAAATAAGATAAAACAGCCTGTGAGTTACACCAAAGCGGTCAACGAACTTAAGCCTCAATATTATTCTTTCATAATAATAATCTATTATGTAAAGAATGAAAGTAAAAATAAGTATATCCACAAAATCACATTATTCTTTATTTATAAATACATCAAATTAATCTTTTAAATATGTAATGTTAAAATAGAGTTGGTTAAGTGACACCAAATTTTGAAGTGCCATTAATTGGAATCACAAACAAATGATTAATGTGATAGGATATAGAATCCTCCTGCACTATATGGTTTAGGTTATGATATAAAAACAAAGGGTTCGATTTTTCTACACATTCAATGTAGATAAGTTATCTACATTGAACCCAAAACGATGTCATTTTGAGACAGAGTTCAAAGTATTTTTATAATTATAATTTATTTTAGGGTTATAATAGTCTTTTTTATTATAATTTTTTAATTTTTCAATTCAAAATGGCGTTGTTTTAATAACAAATGTAGATAACTTATCTACGTTCAGAAACATTAAAACCAAAAACAAATTAAGTGGTCTCCCTCATTGTTTCAAAACAAAACAAAAAAAATGTTGAGCCATTTTCGAAGGATCAATGGAAAATGTTTTTCGTTTCCTGCAACATTATAATCAATTCTCTTATATAGGCAAAATCTTTTCTCATATTGTTGCAAAATTTTAATCTCTTACCACACCCACATTCACATAATGGTCCCATCATACTTTAAATAAAAAACAATTTTTAAAAAAAAAAATGATGCAAGAGCAAATAGGAGATGACTTTCCTAGTAACACAGGAGAAAATCATTCTTCTTTTATATATATATATATATATATTTTTTTTTTTCAATCATTTGAAATAAATTTATTTCTAACCATCTCTTATAATTATATAATTTGACAAGTATATAATTATAATTTTAAAATTATTGTTTTCTCTCCACGTTAGCTGACGAGTTTTGAAGAAACAGAAAAAAATCAATTTAATATTATAAACATATACTTGCAGAAATATATAATTATAAGAGATAATTAAAATATATTCTAAAAGTGTACATTTTCAGAACAAAATGAGTGTTTATTTCCAATAAAAGCGTATCTTCTAAAAGCGGATAAAAATTGAAGTCCGGTATACGCAAAAACAGACTAGCAGTAAATTCCGTATCCGAGAAAATTGAAAATGCATCCTCTAATGAGAAATTTCTAATATATTATCGTAATATCTATATTTATCTATTAAAAACACAACACCTGTATTAATATGTTTATGAGGATTAAGAAAAAAAAAATTATGTTTATGTATTTCTCTGGAATTGCACCCACTGCTCAGCGGTAATACCAAATATATTTTTCCTCTCATATTATGTAACATAATCATATTTTGTGAGATGATCTTAATTATTAATGAACAAATTAATAATAATAATTTTATTATTTTCTATCCCAATATTTTTTCTCTTTCTTTAGCTATCAATATTAATTCACATCTGTATGATCACATTTTTAATATGATATAATTATATTAAGGGTTTATCATCTATCATTTAACATGACCACAAAAAGTTTTCTATACACACAACATTTTGTGGGGCCCGCAGCAAAAAAAAAAAAATTCGACACGTAAAACGAATCTCTATAACATAACACAATCATTTTTCCTACAAGATAACTCTTATAAAATTCTTATATTAAATAACATAAAAAATGATCCACTTAGTAGAAAATTAACTTATGATTAATATTTCAATTTAACCAATGTTTCTCAAAAAAATGTGTTTTAGAATCGAAAAGTCTAAAACAGAAGTAGTAAATAAATACCTGTCATCTTTCACATGTACTAAACTCTTCTCTCTCCTAGTCCTCGGTATGTGTGCTGTTATACCATTGTAAATCTGTTACACACAAACACAGAAAAAATAAACCCCATTCAACTTGCAGTACCAGACAATAATTATGCCACTTTACAGCTCACAAAAAAAAAAAAATCAAAAATCAAAATTGAATTAAATAAAATAAATCTATTTTTTTTTCTCTCTTTCTCTCTCCCCCCCTCTCTTTCTCTCTCTTTCTCGCCACTGCATATGTTCTCTTTCTGTTCATTCTTCTACTTCAATTCAACTCTTCTTGAATTGAATTTTACATGAGTTTGAGTGGAAACATCAATCAAAGTAACAAAAGGGTCCCTTGTTTATGTGGGGTTTATTATTTACATGTAAATATATTGTATATAGTGATAACTTTTTGAATTGGGTTGTTTGGTAGAAAAGAAAGTGTTTATAAACATCATGTTATGGTAGTGTTGTTGTGTCTGTCGGCGCAAGGTTACTTTCTGTTGGCATTGTTTGTCACTGTGTCCAACGATGATACCACTGAAGAGTGTTTTGTAATTTAAATGTTAATGAAAGTACAAAGGAGAAAGAGAGAGAGGTTGATCCTTTAATAGTGTGGAACTTCCATCACCAACTTTGAGGAAGAAAGAATCATCATATACTCATTTGTACAACAAACAAAATCTGGAGCTTATTGTTGGAACTTCAAGAGGGATCTGAAGGGGTTTTGTTTTTTAATGCTTTTCATGCCCCCCCCAAAAGCTCACTTTCTTCTGTATTTGCCTTTTGAGTTCAATTATTGAATAGCTTGGTTTGATTGTTTGGTTTATGAGAAGGATAGAGAATAATAATGTGGATGAATCTTGGGTTTTGGTGAGAGTAACATTGGTAAATGAAGCTCAGGCTTTCTCAGATCCTGCCTCATTATCTATCTGCTGGTACAGGTCTGGAAATTTGACAAAAAGTTTACCACTTTATTCTATTTGTAGTTCCATTGTACTTTGCTGTTTTTTTTTTTTTTTTTTTTTTTTTTAATTTATAGCTTCAACTATTTGCAGAGCAGATGTTATGTTATTTTGCTGAGATTCCTTAACTTATTTCAAATTTTCTGATGTTATAGCTTGACACTAATCATTAATTTTATTATCAGTAACAACCCCATTTGCATTCTTCACTGCATGCCTTCTGCACTTTAGTAATGTCTTTTGCAATCTGTCAAATCCAAGTTTTGAGTCTAAATTACTTATGGTTCTGAAGAAGTTTTTTACCATTTTCTAAGAGTTAGTGGCTCTGTCTGTTTAATTTATCTTCAAGGGTGTTACCTACTTCAATGCTTATACCTTAATTTTTTATTTTTTATTTTTTCCCTGAATAACACCTCTCAATCACCTTCTCAAATTGCATTCTTTCCTTATAATTACCATTATTCCAATTTATTTGTTTCTCTCTAATCACCATTGTTTCAATTTATTTTTTTCCTCATAATATTTCTTTCCATGTAAGATATTAGTGAACTCTTGTATATTTATAGCCTGGAATGTACAAAGTAGGGAAGAGGAAGATATCAGTTAAATGTTTTACTCATTTCTTCATTGTCTATCTTCTAATACTGTCCTTTTGAGGCACATCATTTTTTTTCTTATAATTACCATTGTTCTTATTTATTTATTTCCCTGTAATCACCATCATTTCCAATTTATTTTTTCCTTATAATATTTCTTTCCATATAAGATAGCATTGAAATCTTGTATATTTATAACCTGGAATGTCCAAAGTAGTGCAGAACGAGATATCAGTGAAATGTTTTACTCATTTCTTCATTTTTGTCTATCTTCTAATACTGTCCTTTTGAGGCAAATCATTTTTCTCATAGATTGTGATCTTAAAGTGTCCTTTGAATTCCAGGTTCCATGTATAATAGTTCATATTATATTGTACAGCCGAAGTGACGTTATTCCCAGATGTCCAGGACTCTTGCAGCAATATTTGGAGGAGCTGCAGGAGCCGTGGCATTGGTCGGGATGATTATAGTACTTATACGGTTCTGTCTGTCTCACAAAAGGAGTGTTTCAAGGACTTCAGAGACAGGATCCTCTGATCCTTCACAAGGTAACATCTTACATTTGCATTTTATACAGACACCTATTCTATGGCCAACAAATGCAGTATTCCTAAATTTGGATTCATGCAAGTTTAGAATTGAATAGAATTGCAAATTTTCCTTTACAAGCAGTGGGAAGAATAGAATTGCAATTACGAGACACTAGGCGTTTTGAGATGGAAGAACTATCTCTGGCCACAAAAAATTTCACAGAGAAAAATTTAATGGGAGAAGGGAAATTTGGGGAAGTTTACAAGGGTTTACTTCAAGATGGGGTGCTTGTAGCCATCAAAAAGCGCCGTGCACTCCCGAGTCATGAATTTGTTGATGAGGTAATAATCGGTTTTCTGATCTAAAACTTGATTGCTGAGGTACTGTGAAATAAATAATTGATGTGAAGTGACTTCAATTGCCATAGAGTGAATAGTGACAAAGTTAGAAGTCTTCTTGATGAATTTCTTTAGAGATGGTTAGTTAGTAAAAAAATTTCCTTGATTTCTTTAATATATGTATTTATTTATTTTTACTTTGAGTCATGAAAATAATTTTAAACAGATGCCCTTCTTTTTCTTCTAGTTTTACTTTTCTATTCCTTGTCTGTTTCTGCTTCAGCATTTTGAGTAGAATTCTTTCGAAGTTGCCAGTTAGCCTCATATATTAGTTGATTCAGAATGATGAAAATTACTCTGCACATCATTTCACACTTAACTAAATATTTGTAGTTCAATAAAAAGTCTTCATGTTCTTTGTTCTGAAATATATGCGAGCATAATCAGAAATCAGAATTTCTGTCTATCACCCACAAAGCCTCTTTTTAAGTACCTTGAAACTTTTAAATAGTCTGGTGATTATTTCTGAGATAAAACTGTATTCTATGAGCTTTGTTTTATTTTGCTGGCTACATTTGCTTCAATTTTCTGATGGCAATTTGCATACATTATTAGTTTCAGTCTTAAAATACGGGTATCTGTTATGTGTTTGTTCTCTTGCTTTCATCTAACAGGACCAAGTTTTGCTTCAGGTACGGTATCTCTCATCTATTCAGCATCGGAATCTCGTAACTCTTTTAGGCTATTGTCAGGAAAACAATTTTCAGTTTCTTATATATGAATATGTGCCTAATGGGAGCGTCTCCAGTCACTTGTATGGTAAATTTCTCCAGTCATTATATATCATTTTGAGAATGTTTTGTATTGAATATCTGAAAGCTTAAAATTGTGTATTTTATCTCCATTCACATGTTTCTATTGATAGCTATGCAAAACCATGCATTGCATTGTACTGCATTTCATAAAATTTCTTCTGTTTAGTTTCAGCGGAATTCATCCCTTCTTCTCAAAACTCATTCCTATGAATCTGATTTTTGTTTGCAGGCGCTGGTCAGCAATCGCATGAGAAGCTAGAATTCAAGCATAGACTTTCAATAGCTCTGGGTGCAGCTAAAGGTGATCTTCTGCAAAATCAGTGAGCATTTGTGGCTTTCCTTGTATCTCTTTTTTTAAAAATATCCAAGGATCGAAGGAAAAAAAAAAAAAACCACTCCCCATTAAACACCAACGAACAAAGGTGGGGTGAGGGTAATTCTAGTACGCAACCTTATCATTGCATATTTGCAAAGAAACTGTTTGTCGGATTCAAACCCGTGACCTTTGAATGGAGCAGTTTAACTGCTACTCTAGGCTTGCCTTCTTTCATCCGAGTATCTCAGTGGATCCGAAAAACTTTTTTCTAAGCCATCCTAAAACTTTCAATTATTTAGTAATCCATTCTCTTTGCATGAAATGCGGGATGAACTTGTCTCTGATTTACAAAAGCTCACTCATCCAATTATTCCATGCAGGTTTGGCTCATCTTCACTCTTTGAGCCCCCGTTTGGTGCATAAGGATTTCAAAACAGCCAATGTTCTTGTGGATGAAAACTTCATTGCTAAGGTTGCTGATGCAGGACTTCGTAACTTTTTCGGAAGAGATGAGATTGCAGGGCCATCTTCTCAAGTGGCATCAGATGAGATATTCCTTGCTCCTGAGTAATATCTCTAAGCCTCATATGATTTTTGGTTGGTCTGGTTATACAAGCATTTTTGTTTATGTCCCATTCTCTGCAGAGTGAGAGAGTTCAGACAATTTTCTGAAAAGAGTGATGTATACAGCTTTGGCGTATTTTTGCTGGAATTGTTAAGTGGAAAGGAAGCAGCAGAATCACCATCTTCAGACTCTTATCAGAATCTAGTTGAATGGGTATGTGATTTTTGTCAAAATTCATGACATGGCTTTTGGGGCATGTGTGTTCAATGTGTGCCTTAGATATAGTTACAGTTAGAATATCTAGATAATATCGTATAATATTAAGATTATATGTTAATATAGTTTAGAGTATCGTAGAGGATTTCTTAGGATTAGTATCCTTGTTTTCTTATATTGCTTACTTGGTTTCCTTTAAGAGTTTCCTATTTATACTAAATAGGATTTAGTACTTTGTCTTTTATATTACTAGCAAAGTTAATTCTTTGACTTTGCCGCTTTGCTGTGAGAAGACATCCAATATATCCTAGGAACTTCTCTTGCAAATGTATTAGGAAACTAAGAACATTGTGGTGATTGGTTTCTTTTCTTTTCTTTTCTTATTCTCTAATCAAGGTGCAAAGTAATCAAGACCATGGCAATATCTTTAACATGGTTGATAAGAGATTGGGGAGTAGTTTTACTGGTGAAGGCATGGAAGAGTTCATCATGCTGATAGCTAAATGTTTAGATCCATCAAGTGAGAGGCGACCTTCCATGAACTATGTGGTAACAGAACTAGATCGAATACTTGAAAAGGAAATGAATTTGACTACATTCATGGGTGAAGGAACTCCAACTGTGACCCTTGGAAGTCAGTTATTCAAAACAACAACATAGAAGGTATTGCTGTCATAAACTGTTTCATAAATATTCATGAATTACATCTTTTATTTCTTAATTTTTTAATGGATACTGGTGAATGTTGGGGCCATGCTGCTTGATAATTGTATAAAGAGCAGCTATGATTTCCCCCTTTTCCATGGGCCAATAAACAGTTATATATTTTGTCTTTCCATTTTATTTTATTTTTTTGTTGTTAATATGAGAGTTGAGATTGGGGTGGTGTGATTAAGATTATTTGAGTTTTTCATATTTCCATTTCATTGATGGAGTTGTATTTCTCTGTTGATATCAAATTGAAACTATGTACCCTTTTCTTTAGTTTCTTATTTGTGTCATTTATTTATTTTTTGCATAAAGCAACCATCAAAATAAACATTACTCTCTCTTTTTGCAGTAAGGGAGGGGAGGGCATGTTTGTTGAAAAGATTAAGGAAAAATATTTTCTTATGTTGCGTGAGAATTCAATTCTCATGTCTTGATCCTTCGATTTGTGTGCAAAATTCTTTTTTTCTTTTTCTCTTTTTAATAAACGTGGGACTCACCACTAGTTGAGTCACACCATGAGAATTCAATTTTCATGTAACATAAGAAAATCAAACCCCAAAGATTAATTATCTTTAGTGGAAATTGTAGACAATGCAACTTCAACTTTACTCTTCATTCTTCAATAGCAAAGTAGTCAATGCCTACCACCAAGCACATGTATCAATTCGCACGGTGTTGTTCCAATGATCTTGAGTTCGAGTCCAGATATGCATTTCTGTGAAAAAAAATAATAGGAAGAACTTTGCTACCTTTGAAATTCATTGCTCGAACGAATTAATGAAGTAATCGATAAATCAACGAAAAATCTCCAAAAATTAATGAATCCATAAACAAAAACCGAAATTGTTTTATTAAAATCTTAAATTAGCCTCTTTTTGTTAAGCAAAAGTGAAAATTCTAAGTAAGGATTCTAATCTTGAATTGAAATTTGAATAAATTCAGCTAATCAGTCACAATGTCAATGGAAGAATCGTTGTCCAATTGACTACTTTTGGATCCACTTATATGACATTAGAATGAGGCGAGCATTTATACAAAAAAAAAAAAAAAAAAAATGAGGCGAGCATCACTCAAGGCCTACCAAGTGGGGTTGACAGCGTTAGGTAAGGACCAAAAATCTTCCTTTGTACGCATCAGGTAGAATAACTTCACTCTCTATATACAATTTGCAAATATTATACTTTTCATAAATTATTCGCTACTTGTGTGTATAATATGGTCTTTTCATATAAAAAATTAGTGTTATTAAAATATTTTCAATAAGTTGTTTATAAATGAAGTGAATATACAATTTTATAATTAGTGTTATTAAATGTAGTCAATCTATCAGCCAGAGTTTAAAAGAATAATTTCAGTACGTTTCCCGACTTACGAGAATTTATACAGATTCTTGCTGTTATGTTTTTTTTTTTTTTTTTCTTTCAAAGAAGAATATCAATCAGGGTTTATTTATAGAAAAACAAAAAAAAAATTAGGTAAGAATTTCTTCCCACCATCATATAAAGTAACTTTTAATTTGTGTAAAATTATATATATATATATATATATATATATATATATGGAAAATTGTTTGTCTTTATAAATTACATAACTTATGTCATTTCACTTTCACAAAGAGGTGAGACCCACATCTTTATATTTTTTGTCCACTCTCTCTCCTCCTTTATCTATCTCTCACTTAAAATGTCACAACTTTACATCCTTTAAAATGATATCACATTTTTCCCATATATATATATAAAGTAAGGATATTCTAATTACTAAATTTTTTTACTACTAACTGACTACCCATCACATCACCATTGGATCAAGGAGAGAGAATGTTAAAAAGCTTTTGAAGAGAGAGAGAAAATGTTAATCTAATGGTCATTAGATAGGTAGTAAGTTGGTAGTGAAAATTTTTGGTAGTGAGAATCTATGAAACACCGACACTTCAAAAACACCGACGTGTCGTGTCCGACACTCTCGGACACTCCGATACTCCCCGACACTTCATCACGTGTTATAGAAATTCAAAAAAAAGTTTAAAGGTTGCATTGCATTGAGTTTTTAGCATATTTGGGATATCTTATGATTTTTTGCAAAATTGATAAATATTATAAGTTTAGATTCATTTTTTTGTTAAATTATTGAATATTAAATATAATATACACTACATAAATTAAAAAAATTAGTTAATATCAAAACGTGTCTTAACGTGTCGAAATCTAACATTTTTTAAGATTAACGTATCGGAGTGTCGTGTCACGTGTTTCGTGTCGGTATCGGTGCTACATAAGTGAGAATATCCTCCTCATATATATATATATATATATATATATATATATATATATATATATATATATATGATTAAATATTTGTCATGTCACTTGACCATCATGTCACCTAAATATTTCTCTCTCTTTTTTTATTATCATTGATCCACATTTGTATGGTTATAATCATTGTTGTTAAAATCTCGATTTATCACTATGATTTTACGTTTTTACGACTTTTTTTCATCAAAACGATTTTACTAATATTCCAAACGCTTTTACGTTTTTACGATATTTTTACACTATGATTTTACGTTTTACGATTTTTTAATCCCTTTCTGATTTTACTTAAGATCTCGATTTTAACAACATTGGTTATAATTCTTCGACTGGACAAATTCTTATGTCAAGTTAGTTGATATCCGATTAACCTATATATATATATAGTGAAATCATTTCTGCAGCCGCTTTACGTACACTAATGACAGGTGTATGGTTATGATTCCCCACATTTAATGCTTTCATCTCTTCTGTATGGTTATGATTCCCACATTTAATGTTTTCACGTATATATATATGGCAAATATTTGATTGCTGCACGTACAGCAGTTGCAGAAATATAAATTCCTATATATATATATATATATATATATATATATACATGAGGTAAGATCCTTTGACACTAGTGTCAAATTTAAAATTTGACATCTCATATGATAGACATTAGATAAAAAAAGATCAACGACTCTGATTTGTAAGCATGTGACACCTCATCTGATAGACGTTAGATAAAAAAAGATCAACGACTCTGATTTGTAAGCATGTGACACCATTGATCTTTTTTGATCTAACGGCTATCAGATGATGTGTCAAAGGATCCTACCTATATATATGGGGTTTACATTTCTGCAGCTGCTGTATGTACAGCAATCAAATACTTGCCATATATATACTTGAAAGCATTAAATGCGAGAAATCATAACCATACAAAAGATGAAGCATTAAATGTGGGGAATCATAACCATACACCTGTGGTTGCTGTATGTAAAGCGGCTGCAGAAATAATTTTACCTATATATATATATATATATATATATATATGGGATAAGATCAACTTACACCAGTATAAGAATAATAAGTCTTATACCAAATCTTAATCATTGATTTTCGTGCATCTAGCGGTTGAAATTTATTAGGAATTAATAATTAATTAGTGAGTGAGACCCAATAGATCTCAACCGTTAGATGCATGGAAATCAACGGTTAAGATATGGTGTAAAACTTATTACTTTACACCAGTGTAAGATGATCCTGCCCCTATATATATATGGGGCATGATATTTTTACACCGGAGTAAAAGTTAGAAGTCTTACACTCAATCTTGATCATTGATCCACTTGTATCTAATGGCTTACATTACTAAAAAATTAGAGCCCTTAGATATAAGTGGGATCAACGGACAAAATTGAGAGTGTAACTTACACTGGTGTAAAATGATCCTGACCATATATATATATGGACTTATCATTTCTCAAGCTGCTTGAGATCATTTTATCTCCGGCTACTAAATCATAACCGTACAAAGATGAATCAATGGTGATAAAGGAAGAGAGAGAGAAATGGAAGCATAACCATTCAAAGGTGAATCAATTAATATAAGGAAATAAATAAATAAAACGACGTAATTTTGGGGTGGCCGGAGATAAATTTGTCTCAAACTGCTTGAGAAATGTTTTTCCTTATATATATATATATATATAGGTTAAAAACTTCTCATATTGCATGAGAAGAATATATTCTCCTACACACAACAAACATGTGGGTCCCATTGAAAACATAGGGGGCAGTTATACTTACCATTAACGAAATTTACCACCCTTACAACTAACTTAATCACCGGTGGATCAAAATTAAATCCAATGGCTCACAATCAATTTTTATAATCCTATTTTCTTGAGTAAATATCCTTTTGGTCCCTAACAAAAAATACGGTCCCCACTTTAGTCCCTTACAAAAATAAATTAGTTAGTTAGTCCCTAACAAATTCAAAGTGGACCCATTTAGTTGAAATCGTGGTCCTCACAAATTCAAAAAAGACCCATATTAGTCCCTCAAAAGGACTAAAATGGGTCCACTTTGAAATTGTTAGGGACTAACTGACTAAAGTGGGGACCGTGTTTTTTGTTAGGGACCAAAAAGAGTGTTTACTCTATTTTCTTTTACTTCTTCATTCTCTCTTCAACTTTTTTTTCTCTATCTAGGTTTGCGAATTTTGCCATCTTGGCCATTTGTGCCTAATTGGTTTTTTCCGATGGAAGGACTGTTATGATGAGGGAAGAGGATAAAGCTATAGCCAAAGCACAAAAAGAACATTTCCTTAATGAAATTATGGAGTCAAAACATACTGGCTATGTAATTTAACCAAAAAGAAAAAGAAACAACCACGACGAAGACATAGAGAAAAGAAAAGAACAAATGAACTCACCATCATTACAAAAATGGAGCCAACAACGAAATTGGTGTGAAATTCATTAATGGACAAACAAGGATAATAAGCTAAAACCGCAATCCATCTTATGATTTTACAGTCCCATTTTACATCACACATATATATCCAGGGCTTTTTCTTTCTCTATTTCTTTCTCTTTTCTCGATTAATATTTATATATTGTCATAAAATTCCTTTTGTTTTCTCTTTTTAATAAAAGCTACATCTTAATCATAGTAGTTCCATTCCATCATCCTTGTATGAAATCAAATGAATATAGTGTTATTGCCACTCGTTGCCATTATGGAGCAGATAATGGCGGAAGAAAAAGGGTGGAGAGAGAGAC